TAATTGTAGATAAAATTTTATCAACTAGAGATTTGTTTCATCTAGAGAACAGAAAATTAAATTTGTAAATATATTTTTATGTGATCGTTGTTTCTTGCGTTATTGTTGTCAAGTATTTAATACAAGATTATTGCAGATTATTTTGCAAATTATTCAATTAATTTGTTAGTAATAGTTATTACGGCTAAAGTGCGGAGAGCTAGAAGAAGTTGCACCTGAATACGTACTTTATACCATTTAGTTTTTTTTTCCATAGTAATCGTTATTTCTTTTTTTTTTTGCTATTATTATTTGTTTACATTTTTATTTCTAATAATTTCTGCTTTTATATTGTAAGAGTTTCATATATAAAAATTGCACTTAAAAATTTATATCATACATCTGTTTGTCATGTTTGAATGAAATTTGAAGTAAAATAGAAATATCTTCAGGTTGTTGTTTTTAATATTTCACTTGACATGATACTTATTTTTCAATATTGTATTTAAAGTTTGCATAGCGAAATTAAAATATTTTTAGTAGTAGTTTACAAGAATTACTTTATTGTATTTCTTAAAGTATCTGAAATGGTTTAAAATTTTTCAGTTGCACAGTTAGAATTTTGTGTATCTGAAAGAGAATGAATAAAAAGTAGGGATAGGGCGAAACGGAAGATGCATTCATTTTTTAATTAGAATACAGTATCACAGACGCATAGTCTATTAAGAAATTCAGATACCGTACGAATCCGAAGAGTAAAAAAATTGATTCTTTTGTATGATTTTATACAACAAAACTCTCTACAATTATCTATAATTATATCAATTCAATTTTCTTCAAACTTTTTGTTTTATGTCAACAGATTTCAAAGCTTTTTATGATGAAAAATCAAAATGAGAAATCATAAGTTTCAGATATTATATTCAATAACTTAATTAGTGTATGTTAAAATTAAAAAAAAATAATATTCTGTGAATCTGCATTTCGGGAGTAATCAACATCTTTATCCATGTATATTTGCATTCTATCGTGTATCAATCAGTGGAACAAATACATATATCTTCTCTCCGGTTACTGTACTTTACCATTTTATCTATTCTCCGTTTTATCGACACGTTTCGTTTGGATTAATAAAATGACTCGTGTGTTTAATTTATCGTGCACTTGTACTCAGAAAATCTAGGGTCAATGCCTACACGAAATATCGATGATAAGAATATATAGTAAATTCTAGAAAAACCGCTATATTTGCATAGTTTTAGAAAAATGATGAAAGTTCATTCATCTGACTTAGCTAATCACATTTCGCGATAAAAAGATTTCATTGAAACCAATTGAAATCGTCATTAAATTTCATTTAAACAAAAATATTGAATACATATTATGTTCTTTCTGTTCAATTATTGTCACAGTTGTTTTATTCAATGTTTTACGAAATGTTATAAGCATATTTTGACTTACCTTTATTCGTGCTTAATACCATCTAAATCTTAAGCTAAAAATAATTTTATAGTGGAAGCCAAGTAAATGTCTTTTAATAACCTTCATTCTTTGATAACCTTCAATTCATTATTTCTACCCAAAAATATTCTTGAAAAAAGTAAAATCATTTTCAGTGAATGTGGTTAAAATTTCTTTTCAAGTATGCTATTTGAAGTTCCTTTATTTGAAATTTTTATACTTTTGTTTTTGACACTCTCTAAGTCAGTCTAAAATGTGTATTTAACAAGAAATGGTAATAAACATAACAAACTCTAAACCTAGCAATACCACGTGCATCCTGTCGTCATTGCTTTTCTGAAATATTGATTAACGATGATGTCATACAAAAACGCGTAATAGCGTAAATTTTGTACCTCAATACGAAATATCACTTTGTTCCCATAAATTTTTAGAATCAGAAAATAATAAATATTTAAGTCCTTAAATCA